TATCTCTCTAAACCATTTGGGCTGTTTCCCTGTCAGTTTTTTTCCCATTATGGCTTTGATTTGTCTCCACTCTAACATATGTGTTTGAAAACCGTTGGATAGTTGTTCAAAGAACATGATATTATGTTTTCTGATGTTTGGTCTGTTGGTTTTGAACCATTCTTCCCCCATTATTTCTTGTAATGTGTGACATCCCTCCCCATTGACTGCTTTAACTAGTCTATGTGTATCATTTTCTTTTATTTCAAGTTTTTGTTCTGCTAATAGGAGAAGACATCGTCCCATGTGACTTTTGTTGCTTCTTGGGATTTCGTTTGGACTTGTTAAGATGTTTTTTGTTGTCCATACGTAGTTTTGTGTTTGTTGTAGCCGACCTCTTGTGATTATTCCACAAATGTTTGTTTTGTTGAGTTCTTTTAATAGTCGTTTGGTGTGGAGTTGGATTTGTCTTTCTTGTATACTGAAGATTTTGTATCCGAAGTCTGCATGTATGCCACTGTCAATGGCCGTGATTGGAAGTTTATTTTTGTGCTTGAAGGATGCACGGATCATACTGTCTGTTTTCTTGCACATGTGTTTTGACATTACTGTATCTTGTAGAAGGTATTCTATAGCTGGAAACAGTACGTGGTTGATAATATATCTGTGTTGTTTGTCTGTAATTTGACTTCTGTTGAGTGCTTGTGTTGTGATTTGTACTTTGCGTCTGATAAGGTTTAATTGGTGTGTTTTGTTTCCGGTAGCTATGATCCATACTCCCAGTATTCTAATGGTCTCCTTTCTTTCTTTTTGATGTATTTTGAATTTTTCCATCTTGATTGCCTTCTCTGTTGTTGGGTTGACTGTGATAAGAGCTGCTTTATCTGGATTGATCGTTAGATTGGCAATCTTGGCGAAGCTTTCCACCGTGTTGGTAATTTTTTGCATGTTTCTCCAGTTCTTTGTGATCCAACAGGTGTCATCCATATATGTGATCGATGCTATTTTTTCGTGTGTTGTGTTCTATTTGCATGGCCTTTTTGTTGGAGTTTTAATTTCGAACTTGTATCCTAGTTTGGATTGCTCAATCTTGCAAATAAGAGGGTCGTAGTAGATTCTCCATAGTAACGGTGAGATAGTGTCTCCTTGATCTATTCCGATTTCTGGCTTATATGGCTTGGTTAGGCCGTGGCATATAATTACTTGATTATTACGGTTCTCTAGCATGTTCATAACTGCGATTATAATTTTGCTAGGTATCTTAATTCTTTTGAGCGCTTTTTCCAATAGGTCGTGTTGCATTGAGTCGTAAGCCTTACTTATGTCTTGACTAAGGATCCAACATTCTTTTTTCTTTTCTCTAGCTTCTTCTAGTATATTGTTGATTATGCTTATTGGTTCTTGTGTGCCTCCTTCCGGGAGACCTGCCCAATTTCTGTCTGATAGTATTTTGTGCTTCGTAAACGTTTGTGCTAATCTGTTGTTAATCACTTTGGTGAATATTTTTTTTATTGTCTCAAGAAGTGTGATGGGTCTCGTTAGATTGAGTTGGTGCTGCCAGTCTGTTTTCTTTGGAATGGAATATATGATGTTGTGTTGCCACTTCCGTGGTATCTCTCCTGTGAGTAGAATCTTGTTGAACAGTTTTGTGATTCTGTTAATAGCTTTTTCGCCTAGTTTTTTTAGCATTGGATAACTAATTCCTGACTTGCCTGGTGCTGAGTCTTTTGACATTTTATTGATGACTCCTTTTACCTCTTCTGATTCGATTGTAGCTGTTGTCTCTTGGTACCATGAGCTTATGATTTCCTCTTTCGGTAGGTATTCTTGTTCCCATCTTCTCCACTCCTGATCTCCTACTTCTTTCCCCCTTGGTTTTACTTGTTGAAAATGTTCCTCCACCATGTTCAGGATTTCTTTTGGCTCTGTTGTGACTGTGAGTTCGGGGGTGGTGGTTATGAGTTTGTTCATTGTGATACTGTTGATGGGTTTGTTAAGAATTGAGTTGATCATTTTGCGTTTGTTATCCGAAAAGTTATTTATTCTGTTCTCTATCTGTTTTTTGATATTTTCTCTTGTGTTGTTGTGGTCATTTTCTTTTAGGATATTTTTTGTTATTATGTATGTTTGTTTTATTTTCTTGATCCAGTCTTTGACCCTTTCGGAACCTGGTTCCATCTCTTCCCAAGGGGGGGTCTCTATATGTTGTTCCGTTTTGTTTATTTCTTTTAGTATGTTTGTAATGTTGTTTTGAATATTAGTTGTTCTTTTGTTAAGCATGAAAAATTGTCTAGACCATGTGTTGAGTTTTCTTAGTTTGATGATTTGTATATGTCTGTTGCATTTTTGTTTGTGGGGGCCTTCTTTCGGTCTATGTTTTGTTTTCCGAATGTTTTGATGCATTGCCTTGCATATGGTATCCCATGTTAGGTTCCATACCTTGTTTGGTGTGTATGCTTCTATGTTTTGTTTTTGGTCTTGTTCTGTGATGGAGTCTTCTATCTGCTGTTTGTAGTTCTCACATTGTTTCGTTGTGGTGTTTTTGATATCAAATATGTTGTGTCTTTTGGGATCGTAGTTTTGTTTGCCTTGAGTTGTTATTTCAGTGATCTCAATTTCGCATGTGGCAATGTCGTGATCACTGTTGGTTATCATATTTGATGATTCTATGTTTGCATCGATAAGATTCCAGGTTTCGTTTGGTGATATCCATATGTAATCAATTCGAGTTTGTGTTGTGCGCATGTTGGTCCAGGTAAAGCGTGTTCTGCTTGGCCATACTTCTCTGAAGGTGTCTATGTGGTTAAGCTGGGTGAGTGTTTGGATTGTGTGCGATGTTGGTGTTCGGTTGTTTCCTGGTGGTCTTTTATCGATGCTGGGATTGTGCAAGGCGTTGAAGTCTCCAGCAGTGATTATATGCCAGTTTTTGTTGTGTCTTGCCCATATTTTATCTTGCATCCATTTTGCAGTGGGGCAATAGTCTGGATAACCTTTGCTTGGCATGTATACTCCAATTATACTAATGTGTTTGTTTCCTTTATAATTTAGGTCTATACATATGCCTCTGCCTGAATGTGTTTGTATATTTCCTATGTGGTTTGCGATATTTTCTTTGATTATGATCATGATGCCACCCCCTTTTTTATCGTTGCTCCAGGTAGTATGGTATCCATGCATCTTCCAGTATTTTGATTTGTTTGTTGTAATCTGTGTTTCTGTGAGAATACCTATGTCTATCTTTTCTTCTTCACAATATGCTAGCCAGATTTCTCTCTTGATGATGTCATTGAATCCACGAACATTGTGTGTTACGATCTTCCATGTTTTCCATGGTTGAGGTCCTGATGTATATTGGTTGGAGTCATTGTGATTATTTGTCCAAGGTTGGGTTTGACGTATTTGAGGTTGTTGTGATGTCATGTGTTCTGTTTGTTTGTCTGGGTTGTCCTTTATTGTTTGTTCTTGTGTTTCTCCCGATGTTTGTGTTTGGTTGTCTGTGTGCCTGTCAATTGAGTTATAGAAATTTGAGAGATTAGAGGTGATCTCTTGTGCGTTTATGCTGTTTGCCTGATTGTTCTCCATTAATAATTATTGGTGATGTTGTTTGTGTCTCCCGGAATGAGGTTATGAATTGTATTCATGAGATTGTTCATGGTTTGATTGGTGTTTTGAATGGTTACGTGTATTTGTTTCTGTTGTGTTTGTATGTCCTGGATTGCACTTCTGTTAGTGGAACTGTTTTCATGTGTGGTTTGTTGTTCTTCATTCTCTGTGTTCTGACCTTCTGTGGACTCTGTTTCTTCCATTGCTCCTACACCATTCTCGTCATAGTATTCTAGATTAGTAATTCTTTCATCGATTTCTACGATTTGCTGTTTAATTTCTGATATGTCTTCTTGCAGCTGTCTTAGAATGTGTAATACTTCTTGTAGATCGGATGGGTTTGCCTTTTCGTTTTGTGATTGTTGAGGTGCACGTGCTGCTGCGGCATATGACCCGGGTTTGGCTCCTCTCCTTTGTTGTTGCGTTGGGGTGTGTTTCCTGATGTCGTTTGTTTTTGCTGGCTTGTATTTCTCATAAAGTTTTCCGAACTTTAGTGCTTGTTCTTGGTTATATGCATTCCATTGGTTTCTTCTTTCTTTGATGGGACATGTGGCGGCTAAATGTGTATCATTGTCACATATGGCGCATAATTTGGTGTCAATGTGTGTCCACTTTAAGTATATTTCACCAATTGTATATTCTTCCTTAATTGCATTCTGTAGATCCTCCATTGTGTCAAAACTGATGACTGCGAATCTTTTCCTTTGGTACGTTTCTCTTCGTGGAATGTAGCATGTTTTTGCCTTTGTTAGTTGTAGTATGGTGCGTAGGTCAAATGCTGTTGTGTTTGGAGGTAGGTTTGTAAGTTTAGCTGCGATTTGTCCTCTTTGTTTCATCTGTAAGAGATCCCATTGTGCATTGAAGACCCGAACCATGTCTGCCTTGAATGGGACGCTCCACATGTTGATGATCTGATTTTTGCTTGTCTTGTCTTCAAAAGTAATGGTTGCAGTTTGCCACATCTGTTGCGTGCTCATTGCGATACCTGTGATTTGTCCATATTTGGTGAATGTTTGTTGTACTTCGATGTATTTGGCATCCAGGGGGGATGTCCCATACTCTGATACTGTTTTCCTTTTTCGTGTTTAGATCGATCATTGGCATGTGCTGTAGATGCTTGTCTTCCGTATTGGGTAATTTGATACTACATGCGTGTTCTGCGGTTTGGTAATCGCCGAAAATGGCTATAATCTTCTCTTGGTCATTTTTGCCTTCACTGCGGATGGCAAGAAGTCCTTCGGGACACTCAAGTGCTTTGGTTAAGTACTGGATTTTTTGGCTTGTGTTTTTGCCCAGGAGTGTGTTGGCATTAATTCCTACTTTGCTTCTTTGTCTACCGTATCTGCTGCTTCTGTCAAAAGGAGAGCGTGGTCTGGGTTTGTTTCACTGGTGCATAGGTTGTTTGCCTTTGCCTTTACTGAGTGTTGTCCATTGCTCTTCGTCTGTCTTGGTTCTCCAGTTGTTGTTGTCTGCTTCCATTTCTTCCATTTCTGCATCCGAGTCATCGATTCTGATGAATTTGCTTGCCTCTTGTTGTGTTCGGTCTTTTTGTGTGGAGGTTTCTGCCACTACTCTTTCCACCTCGTCACTCCATAGTTCTTGGCTCTTTTGCCCATGAGTTGTCTCTTTTGGTTCTTGAGGGATTGGGATTGGTATGGTTGTTTCCGGGGTATCTTTCTTTGCTGTACTATCTTTGAGTGGTGGTGTCTCTTCCTTTTTCTGTTGTTGTTTCTTTGCCAGATTTTTGTACTGTATATGGAGTTGTTTCTTTGCTTTTACAGCCGCCCTTGCCTTTGGTAAGGTTGCTGATGTTGTAGTTGGGCCTGGAAGAGGTAATGGAACCTCTCAGTGTTCTTTGCGAACTCATTTTCTCTTTCCTTGCCTAATTTCCAAATATGGTAATTATATGCGTATGGGAAAGAGTTTTTTTTTTTTGATAAAGAATTATATAATTATTTAAGTGAGATTTTTATATTATTATGTGAAGAAATGTCGTCTACTAATATTATTAATTCTTTTGTATTATTTATGCCAACTAATATGATCAAAAGAAAAAAATGTTCTAGCTGCAATTTGCAAGATATTGAAAATAAAAAAAAAAACATGCCCAAATTGTAAAATACAACTACCGACTTTGGCTGAAATTCAAAAGAGAAAGGGTTGAGATAGAAAATTACATAATTAATCAAATAACTAAACCAATTATTTTTAAACTTTATAGAGTTAATAACGATCAGAGTGTTACATGTAAAGATGGGTCCCTAAAGTATTTAGCATATAAAATTTATGTCCCTTTACGTCCACGTCCCCTAGAGGACATAATTCCTAGCTCTTTACTTCAATAGGGACATAATTCTAGAAATGATTTGTATAGATGCTTAAAACTATAAAGAACCTTTGTAGGTAGTTTTTTTTTATTCCTTAATATAAAAATAAAAATTTTTAATAGTAAGGGACATTTGAATTATGTCCTTACAAATAATTTAGGGACCCATCTTTAGTTACATGTACTCCTAAAATCAGTTTTTCTCAACAAATTATTAATCAAGAAATTAGTATTCCCAAAATTTATATTCTGGATCCGATTAATATTAACCCCAATTTGATTACAAGTGTTGAACAAGTCCTTTTATATATAGAGGCAATATCAGGTATTAGAAATAGGATTCATAAGTGGATAATAATAACCTGCGACAGTGTCCCATATCATTGTGCTACCAAGTTAAAAAAACAGTTTCCTTGGTTGGTTCCAATACCTGGACAATTACATAAAGAGATGAATATGCTTTGTGCATTTGTAGAATTGAATTGATAAATTACTTCAAATTAATATATCGAATATATGATCGAATGTGTACATTAGATTATTATTATTATTTTTGGTTTTTTTTTATTTTCTTTTTTTGCCTTGTATGATAATTGTATTAGGAAAATTGATCTAAGACAATTTGCAACATGCCAGGGTTATTGAACCAAAAATCAACTCGCTTATTTTAAGAAATGTGCCAATCATTATAAATCATGGGATTCGATTTGTGTCATATATTGTTAGGCAATGGCCATGAAACTTCTATGGCCATATGTAAAAAGCAATCCAAACTCATCAGTTAAAAAATATTTTGCTTGGATCAAAAAGCAACAAGATTCACTTTATTAGATAAAATATGAACAGATTATTGAGGAGGTTTTTTAAATCTTTTTATAATAGTTAACATGATTTTTTATAATAATAGATATTTGTTTACTTTCAAAGGATTGTTAACTATCAAAAGATCATAAGAACCAATGATCCGCTCTTGAAAAGGGCCACTAAAAGAGTGTTTTCTCCTATTTGGTCTGCAAGGCGTCATCCTATATACTATCTAATAGAAGTTGCTGACAAAGTTCAATTAATGCAACTTCGTCCTGAAATTTGTGATATTACTAGGAAATGGGAACCATTATAGGTCCGGAGCAAAAAATTATAAATAAATTTATTATAAAAAAATATATAAATTAAATATCAATAAAAATATCATTAATATATAAATAAATACTAATTAATTAATAATTATTAAATATTT